TGTACTAAATATTGAAATCTTATTATATTTCAAATTTGACATTAATCCTTAGAGAAGTAAAAAAGTTATTAGCATTTTCATTTGGTCCTGTCATTGTCGATGTTGGTCCTGTCATTGTCAGCGTTGGTCAGGTCACATTACCGCAAGCTTTTTATACCTTTTTCTATATTTTTCTTTAATTATGTATAAAATGGTGTAATCTTATTATATTTAAAATTTCAGAGAAGTATTTTGAGAAATAAAAAAATAATTAGCAGTTTCATTTGGTCCTGTCATTGTCGAGGTTGGTCCTGTCAGTCAGCGATGGTCATGTCACGTTTTCGCAATTTAAAAAAAAAAAATCTATATTTTAATCTATGTTTTAAAAGATGAGATCTTATTATATTTTAAATCTGAGATAATTCCATTGAAAAATAAAAAAGGTTAATAGCACTTTTATTTGGTCCTGTCATTGTCGAGGTTGGTCCTGTCATTGTCAGCGTTGGTCAGGTCAAATTACCGCAAGCTTTCAATATTTTTATACCACCTCATAAAAAATTTTGTGGTCGTATATTGGTATGACGTTGGCGTCGTCGTCGTCGTCGTCGTCGTCGTCGTCGTCGTCGTCCGAAGACACATTAGTTTTCGCACTCTAACTTTAGTTTAAGTGAATGGATCTCAATGAAATTTCACCATAAGGTTCAATACCACAAAAGGAAGGTGGGGATTGATTTTGGGGGTTATGGTACCAACAGTTAAGGAATTAGGGGCCAAAAAGGGGCCAAAAATAAACATTTTTGTAACTTCCAGACATAACTTGTGTGTAAGTGTATGGATCTCTCTGACATTGTTCCACAAGGTTCCATATCACAAAGGGAATGCTGGGATTGATTTTGGGGGTAATTGCCTCCAAATTGTAGGAATTAGGGGCCAAAAAGGGGAAAAAAACAGCATTTTTCTAGTTTCATGACAATAACTTGTATGTTAGTGTATGGATCTCTCTGACATTGTATCACAAGGTCCCATATCACAAAGGGAATGCTGGGATTGATTTTGGGGGTAATTGCCTCCAAATTTCAGGAATTAGGGGCCAAAAAACAAGCATTTTTCTAGTGTCATGACAATAACTTGTATATAAGAGTATGGATATTTATGAAATTTTACTACAAGGTTCCATATGACAAAGGGGAAAGCTGGAATTGAGTTTGGGGGTAATCGACCAAAAAGCTTAGGAAGAAGGGGCCAACAAGGGGCCAAAAATAAGCATTTTTCTAGTTTCCAGACAATAACTTGTGTTCAAGTGTATTGATCTCTCTGAAATTGTACTGCAAGGTACCATACCACAAAGGAAAGGCTGGGATTGATTTTGGGGGTAATTCCCTCAAAAATTTAGGAATTAGGGGCCATAAAAGGGCAAAAAAACAAGCATTTTTCTAGTTTCAGGACAATAACTTGTGTGTAAGTGTATGGATCTTTATGAAATTGTACTGCAAGGTTCCATATCACAAAGGGAAAGCTGGGTTTGAGATTGGGGGTAATTGCCCGAAATGTTTAGGAATTTGGGGCCAAAAAACAAGCATTTTTCTAGTTTCCAGACAATAACTTGTGTTCAAGTGTATGGATCTCTCTGAAATTGTACTGCAAGGTACCATACCACAAAGGGAAGGCTGGGATTGAGTTTGGGGGTGATGAATCATAAGGGGGTTCAAAAAATTTTGGGGGGGGGGTTTTTTTTTCCTTTTTTTTCTTTAGAATTTTCTATTTTAAATTGGTTATTTCTGATTTATATATAAAAGCAAATAATAATGATATGGTTTGAATAGGTAAATTAAAATTTTTTAAGTTCTTAGACCACTTCCATTCTGTGTCAGAAACCTATGCTGTGTCAAATATTTAATTACAATCAAAATTCAGTGCTGTATCAAGCTTGAATGTTGTGTCCATACTTGCCCCAACTGTTCAGGGTTCGACCTCTGCGGTCGTATCAAGCTGCGCCCCAGTGGAGCATTTTATTTTCTATATTATTCCTATATTTATGTATAAAATGATCTAATCTTATTATATTTCAAATTTCAGAGAAATGTTATGAGAAGTAAAAAAGTAATCAGCAATTTCATTTGGTCCTGTCATTGTCGAGGTTGGTCCTGTCAGTCAGCGATGGTCATGTCACATTTTGGCAAGTTTTTGAAAAAAATCTATAATTTAAAAAAAAATATGTATTATAGGATGACATCCTATCTTATATTTCTAATCTGAGATAATTCCTTTGAAAAACAAAAAAGTTATTAGCATTTTTATTTGGTCCTGTCATTGTCGATGGTGGTCCTGTCATTAGCAGCGTTGGTCAGGGCACGTTTTCAAAAGCTTCTAAAAAAATCTTTTTTTTTTTCTTTAATATATATATAAAATGATGAAATCTTATTATATTTCAAATTTGAGATAAATCCTTTGAGAAATGAAAAAGTTATTAGCATTTTTCATTTGGTCTTGTCATTCGGTCCTGTCATTCGGTCCAGTCATTAGTGTAACCCCTAAAGTTAGAAGTAAAAATCCTTTAAATCACTAAAAAAACGAAATAATGATAAAATAAATGGCATTACAGTTGCTCAAGTTGAGCACAAACTTTTACAATTTGCTGATGACACATCTCTTATTTTAGATGGTAAAGAAGAATCTTTGAATGAAGCATTTAAAATGAATTAGATTGGTTTGGAAATATATCTGGTTTAAATATTAATTTTTCTAAAACACAAGTTATTTGGATAGGAAATAAAAAGTATAGTAATGAGGTATTATGCCAAAATAGAAACCTTACATGGGGAGAAACATGTTTTAATTTATTAGGTATAAGCTTTGATGTTAATCTTGATAGAATTGTAAAAATTAATTATGATGAAAAAATTGTACAAATAAAATGTGTAATTAAACAATGGTCAAAACGAAATCTTACTGTTATTGGTAGAATTACTGTTGTAAAGACATTGATATTGCCTATTTTAAATCATTTGTTTATATCCTTACCAAATCCAAGTGATGATATTTTAAAAAATGTTATTGAACTTATGTACAATTTTATATGGAGTTCACCAATTGATAGAATAAAGAGAGATGTTTTACAAAATGATATTGAAGATGGTGGACTCAAAATGATAAATCTTAGTGCATTTATTTTAGCACTGAAGTGTACATGGATAAGGAGATTATTTAAAACAGACAACAAATGGCAGAATGTTTTTTTGTCAAATGATCATGTAGAACTTGAAAAATTTTATGGTTGTGGAAGTGTTTATATACAAAAATTACAACAAAATATAAAAAATAAATTTTGGCAAGATGTTCTGAAAGCATGGCAACTTCTCAGAGAAAAAGATGAATATGACAGTTGGGAATGCTTTCTTGCCAGTCCAATCTGGCTTAACAATAATATAAAGGTAGCAAATAAACCTATTTTTTATAAAGATTGGTTTGAAAATGGTATAAGATTTATAAATGATATTGTAAATGAAGATGGGACTTTTTTCTCTCATCAAGAATTAGAAGAAATGTATCAGATAAATGTGAATTTCATGAGATATAATAGTATTATATCTGCTATACATCAAGCATCAAAATCATTTGTGGGAAAAAATCACAAATTAGAACTACCTTTAATTCCATCTGCTATTAAAAGACTTGTTAAAAGTTCAAAAGGATCTAAAGATATGTATATTGTTTTAAATAAAAATAAAAGTGTTCCCACTAGTCAGTTAAGATGGACTGAAATTTTTGCTTTGATCAAAATCATTGGAAAAATTTTTATAAAATGCCATTTGTTGTCACAAATAATACTAAGTTACAGTGGCTGCAGTATAGATTCAATCATCGAATCTTAGCTACAAACAAATTTCTTCATAAAATTAAGATTTATGATAATCCAAATTGTACATTTTTTAATAGAGAAATTGAAACATTAGAACATTTATTTTGGGATTGTGAACATACACAGATATTATTAGAACAGATTGAAAATTGGTTTCTGACCAATGGAGTTAGTGTAATTTTTACAAAAGAAGTTTTTTTGTTTGGTAACATTGCAAAAATATCAAAAGGCAATGCAGAAAATACTCTTTTTCTTACCATAAAGCAATATGTTTATAATACCAGATGTTTTAAAAAAAAAACTGTCAATAAACTCAGTAAAAGAGAAGATGAAATATGTGTATGCAATTGACAAAAATATTGCTATGAAAAACAAATGTGAACATCAGTTTCACAGAGAATGGAACATTTTTGATAGATTACTTAGTTAAGTACAAAAATGTATACACTTTAAATTTAATATTATACATGTTATAAATGAAAATGCTGTATTTACTATACTAAAATAGAATTCAATGTCTAGATGAATTGTATTGAAAACTCACCACACTATTTTCTCTCACTCTCTTTCTCTCTCTCTCCGGTGTTCAGACTGCTTTACTCTTTATCTTATTTTGTATATTTAAAAAAAAAATTGCTTCCTAATAAAAAGATGTATTGTTAAGATAATATCAATAGATTTATATATTATATATTGTTATTATTTGTGTATACACTGTATTATGTTGTAAATTGGAAGTTATAAATAATAAAAATTAAAAAAAAAAAAAAAAAAAAAAAAAAAAAAATCCTTTTTGCATGAACCAGTACAGACCTGTTTACCACTCAATTTTAGCGTAGTTTCTACGATTTTTGGGACTCAAATTACGCTCTACACCCAAATAGGTTATTTCTATGCTTTCAAAGATGCTACAGTAAAGAGACCGGCAGTAAGTAAATTTGTGTCCAAAGAAAGTTATCTGAACGCAAAACGAAGTCTTTGTCTTTTATGCGCTTGTCAATGATTATAAAAGTATCTCTTACAAACGCTCTTGTGATCGTGACTCAAGTTTGACACATGGCGCGCTGAAACGAAAGTACAGTAAGGGGAAACAACTCCTTACTATAAAGCAAACGCCATGTTTATGCGGGGAAGATCAAGTTTTGTGTTTACAAAAAATTTGATTTAGCGGATCGTACATATCAGAATGACACGTAAGTCTGCCACATAATATTTCATAACATGATCTTGCGATCTATCTATATGACAATAATAATCGTACTGTAAAAACTCTTTAAACCAGACGGCCAAAAAGTTGTGCTATTGAAAACTATCGAAAGGAAATCGCAAGGTACTTGCGATTACAACTTTTTTCAAGAATATGACATAAAAAGATAAACTATTCGATTATTTGACATAATATCCATTACAAATGATTGATAAAGTTCTAATACTCGATATTGAATGACAAAAATAAAATCAATCAACAAAATAACGAGTTTGCAGTTGCATGTTGACATTGTTGTTGTTCTATTGATATGCTAATCAAACACCACCTCACAAATTGTTTACCACACAGTCACGAGAGTCCTAGAAATAGTTCCTACTTTAAGTGTTGGCAGAATGTAAGTGAATAACATCCTAGATTTTATTATATAATTTACGTTGCTTGATATACAATGATATAGTCATGTATATTTTTTACAAAAATGTACCATGTTGTGCTCTCAGTCATTGTTTAATTGTCACTGTCAGGTCAATATAAATCTTTGTATTGCACATGGTAAGCATTTTTGCTCCTTTCATAAAGGCAACCAAATTTAAAGTGATTAACTTTTAAGTATTTACTCAGATTTTTTTTAATCCATGATGATGACCATAAAAAACAAAAAGACCGGTTTGTTTGAAACAACATTTCTGATTATATGACAAGTTTGTCTCCAAGTATTGAAAGTAATTAAAGTATTGTAAAGTAATCTTTATTTAAAGTTGGGTTGCATATATAAATATTAATAGCAAGGAACATGAGCTCTTAATTAGAGTTCTTTAAGGTTCATGTGGACCCTTTGGCTAAAATGGCTGCATTTTCACCTCAAAATTTACTCTGAGTACAGACAAACCTGCGCATCTGGAAAAGTTTTAAGGCATAGCATGCCCTAGATAAATAAACTTCTAATGCATGGTATGTTTTAGAAAATTAAAAACTTAACTGGATTTAGCAGTACACTTTTTTTCGTCCCTGCAGAAGATGATAAAATTAACAAACAGTTGAGTTTCACTTGATATGGTCCACTCAGATACACAGTTTAAATCACCAATTATTGTCAGGTATCTATTGTCCATCTATTGTCCATGTCAATCAAAACAGTTCACTTCAATTATTACCTGTGGGGAAGTTCTCAAACCTCTTTCCCAACTTAGTTTATTTTGGCACCTTCTGGAGGAATGAAAAAAAGTGCACTGCAAAATCCGGTTAAGTTTTTAATTTTCTAAAACATAAAATATATTTGAATTTTATTTATCTAGAGCATGCTATGCCTTAAAACTTTTCCAGATGCACAGGTTTGTCTGTACTCAGAGTAAATTTTGAGGTGAAAATGCAGCCATTTTAGACGAAGGGTCCACATGAACCTTAAGAATTATGTATCCTTTTGTTGTTTCAATGCTAAACATGTAAATTTTAAATAAAATCTAGTCTTTCCCTTGTAATCTAATATTTGACCATTCTATGCTTGATAGATAGAGGAATATTGCATGCAGTGCTAGCAATGATTTCCTTAGGACAAGTTTATAAATCAAAATATTGGTTAGAACAAATATAAATATGGACCAATTCAAGTACACCTTCTAGGGTGCACTCGACTTTAGAGACTCAGCACAAGTTTTTTTGGAATTTAAAGGTTGTTTAGGACTTTTTGTATCAATAAATGCTAGCACATCATAGAAAAACAAGTGAGTAATCTATGTTTAAAATTTTATAACAAAAATCTCTTTTTTAAAGTCTGTGGATTTTCTACAAAAATCTTGGATTATTTGCCACAAAATCCCCTTTTTCTATTAAATGCAATGACACAATAAATAATAATGCTTTGCACGAAGTTTCCCCTTGGTATATGTACAAAACGGCCCATCCCTATTATTCATTATTTTTGCTGTTTTGATACTTTTGCAGTTTGAAAATTTCATAATTCACATGGCTACAGAAGGGGTCATAAACCTTAAATTTTGGTTGTTGCAGATGCTGTTCTGATTGTAGAGTTATGTGAAATGGAAAGAAAGAGATACATGTACATACAGAGACTGTTTTGATATTAAGGTGTAAGTACATATATGAAATAATTATTAGAAATGACGTATCAACTTATCAGTGAATGTACAAACATTTATTAGAGTTCTATATTTCAGTTAAAAAAAACATTTTTTTGTCATTTGTGTATATAAGCAAGGCAAATGGACATGTTGTGATGTTACACTATTGTTTCAGAAAAAGGGTGAAGGTTTGGTTCCATTAAAACGTTTAAACCCGCTGCATTTGTATGCACCTGTCCTAAGTCAGGAATCTGATGTTCAGTATTGCCGTTTGTTGTTTGAATGGTTTTACACTAGTAATTTTGGGGGCCCTTTATAGCTTACTGTTTTCGATGTGAGCCAAGGCTCCGTGTTGAAGACCGTACTGTGACCTATAATGGTTTACTTTTATAAATTTTGACTTGGATGGAGAGTTGTCTCATTGGCACTCATACCACATCTTCTTATATCTATTGTTTGTTAATAGTACATTACTCATCTTACATACTTTTAGAAAATACAATTTTATTGGACTGTTTTCCTCTGTTGTATACACTATTGATATTAAAATGAATCAGCAGTAACAATAAGACAATTTATTTTCAGAGGTGGATTTAGGGGGTGGCAGCGGGCCGTCCCCCCCCCTTTTGTGGGAAAAATTTGGTTGATTATATAGGGAATCACTGAAGCATGACTGGAGTAGGCCCCCTCTTATGAACATTCTGGATCCGCCACTGATCTTTATATACATGTGTAATTACATGCCAATTTTGTTAATTCTTGATTGATATTATATGACTTCTCTTTTTCAGGTAAAAATGAGCTACCAGAAAAGATGCTGAAAATTTTAAAACTGTTTTAACAAGAGCATAAAAAAATAGAGAAAAAAGAACAATACCAGGTCTGGACCTTTGTGGCTGCATGCAATTAATTCTAAAATACCAGGAAACAAGATGTAGCTGCACAGCAGACATGGCAGATCTTAAAATTGCTAATAGACATCAATTCAACATTTTCGAGCTGCATATCGAAAATGAAAGCATTCCTTTTCATAGAATCCAAGAAATCTTTTAACCAAGTCAAGTGGTTATTAGACCTGCTATCATGAAAATATTAACATAAATATTACAGTCACATGTAATATCCCAAACATAAGAACTATTTGGTACGTCTGACTATCTTTCTTCCCATGTCATGTTACATGTATGCTCAGAATATTTTAATGTCACAATGATATGAAATGGATAAATGATATATTGTCAACCATTTAAATAAAACAGACAGGCTCACATAAAAATTAACTGTCTATGTGAAAGTTCAAGTTGACTGAAATTGTCTATAATTAATACCATATATCCAAAAGTACAGAATTGTCTTTCTCAGAAATTTTGTATGTTTAATAGAATGATACTTGTAGCTTCTATTTTCTTGGCTCTGTATGATTATCAATATAAAATTGGGAGATGTAGTATGATAGCCAATGAGACGTCTTTCCACCATGCAGAGACCAAAGTAAATGCTAGAAAATACAGGTCACAGTTATGTATGGCCTTGTGTAGCAATCTATGGAAGACACAAAGATTACAAAGTGTAAAATAATTCCAACAAGATAACCAACTATCAAGGCTTCCTCTTAAACCAGACAACTCACTCATGTGAGTCTGAAAATGTTAATATGTCAGTGTCAAGATTTATAAGTACTTGTTTTGAAATAAGAGAAAATTTGCATTCCTATAACTAACTAAATATACATGTAGTATAGTGCTGTTACAGTAGTTTATTTATTTTTATGTATTAGAGAGGGTTAATATTCTATTTTATTTATTTTCAAACCCCATCTGGTATGGAGTATAGTTATTTAATCATTTATTTTTAATGTAATATATCTAAAAAATTACTATATAATTAATACTATATATATATATGTATATGCTCGGAAACGGGCCCTTTAATTGGATTCAATAAATATTCTTATTCTTATTCTTCTTATTCTTATTCACTGAAACTAAACATAATAGCAATATTCACAATAGGTATTAATATAGAATATTCCTTCATGGTTTGATTTGATTTCAGTTCATGTTTTCAGAGACATATATATTGTACCAATATGTCTATGAAGTCTTTTGGAAATTAGAACAAAAGAAACAGTTCTTGTTTGGTTTAAATATGAACGTTTGACCGCCTATGATGACATTTAGTCCATGGTGTGTCTCCAATTGGAACCAAAATAAAATACTTACGGGGAACTTCAAACGCAAACACTGATATGTGACAGGTTTGATTGTATTGGTTCACTGGCTCTTTGAAGCTAAGACCAATCTGATACCGTTTAGCTCTTGCAACCATATTGGGCTTTTTGTTAGGTAATACAGTGAAAACATATTGTTACGGTATTTTCTAAATTACATTCCAGGGTAATTATCCTTTATGTGTTGCACAATATAAAAAATATAAATCTGATTTTCATTATATGGTTTCATGAAATGTTTAAGAAAGAGGTGCATGCCAACAAACACCTGGTTGTTATGAACATTCTTGATGGTTTTTGTTTTGCCTCTAAGAATTCATTAATGTGAGACGTGTGTGTGCTTTGTAGCGTGGTGTCGCTGTTTGAACAAGTCTGTGTTTAGGTTACTTAAGAAAACCTTATTTCAACTCGATCATATTTGGCATGATGTTGTATAAGCATGCATATATTATTAGCAAATCTCATATCCATGGATTTTGCTTAGTTTAAAAATTGAAGTTTCTGATTAATTTAATTTCAGGGCAAACATATTAATGATTCCCCCCATAGAGATCATTTTCCATTTCCCCTCAGTCATTGTCTATTGAACTTGAAACTATTGCCTATTTTACATGTTAAAGTTAGATTGGTTCAGTTGAATTGAAATGAAGTTCATAACCACTATTAAACTGTAGCTAGGTCAATGACATGTGTAATGCAGCTGTATAAGCAGTAGCATATCATTCCCAGTGAGATTATATGCCCCCTTCATCTAAGTCATGCTTATGAGAATCTGGTGATAAAATCATTGATAGTTAATTGATATGCACGCTTGTATTGACTATTGGCATTTTCAGCATCAGCGATGGATTTAGAGGGTCAACGGACCCACACCCTTATGTATGGGTTTCATGTATGGTACAGCATAGACTTAAATTGGATCGAACCCCCTCAGGCCTCTTTTTTTAAAATTCGGTATCCGCACCTTAGTATATCTCATTTCCATGGAGATTAGTTAGCCTTGCGCCTCTGCTCATGGGCATTGAATGACTTGGAATATTTTTTCTTAGTTAAAACGTGTAAAAGTATTTGCAATTATTTTAACCTTTCCATTTTATCATTTTAATTGCTTACAACGAGACGTATATCCCTGTGTCAACAGTTAATTAAATAATAACCTGGGAATAGTTTATTAACTATTAACACACCCGTGACTGAACCAAATTACTTCAGCCTTATTGTTATCCTTGATTTTGAGTATTTGTATGGTCATCTGTTAAAGTCATGACGAACATAAGGTGCGCAGTTTTCTCTGCTTTCAAAAGTTTCTAGATGAATCCGTCCTGGTTTCTTACTATTGGAATTTTATCATGAGTATTTGGGCGGATGTCAGAGTGGACCGAGAAGACATCGCTTATTACCCCGGAGAACCTCATGTTTAGCCATAAAGGTATGCTTAACAACCTGGGTAGTGTACTTGCTCACAACATGTTATGCCCAGCAGAAACATATATTACATGAAAAAGTAGTTTGCGGGTTGTTTTGAAGGTTTGAATTCTGTTCTTGGAACACAAAAGTAAATAAGAAATGACAGGAAATAGTGGGGAATCCCGTTTTACAAACTATGTACATACATGCAGTCTGTGTTTGAGTTTCAGACTTAGTGTTTTAAGTGTTAATAGTGCTCCTTACATGCATTATCCTGATGAGATTTCAAAATTTAAATTCGCGCTAAGAAAACATACAAACAATTAGACTGTCCATTTCCCCAAATAAAAAAAACTGAACCCAATGAAACCCACCGTTTCAAAATGACTGGATCCGCGCCTGGAATATATCACAGGTTGTGGTCAAAGGATGGAGCTAGCTGGTTTATTAAATAAATGCAAGGAGTCTGTGTTTTTGTTATAGATGTATTTCTATTTGTATCCATCTGATGAGTTAAGCCTTTTTCAACTGATTTTTATGGTTTGTTCTTATGTAGTACTAATCCTCCATAGCACAGGTTAGGGGAGGGTTGGCACCTGCTAACATGTTTAACCCCTCCACATTCTATATGTGCCTGTCCCAAGTCAGGAGCCTGTAATTCAGTGGTTGTCGTTAGTTGCTGTGTTACATATTTGATTTTCGTTCATTATTTTGTACATAAATTAGACCGCTTGTTTTCTCGTTTTATTTGTTTTACATTTGTCATTTCCGGGCCCTTTATAAGGCTTTGTTCATTTTTAAAGGCCGTACTGTGACCTATAGTTGTTAATACTCATTCTCTGTAACCACTTAAACATTTTTTGGCACACATAGTCACCGATCTTTCTGAAAATTGGCTGATATGTATATCCTATTAGCCTAGTCAGAAAAATAATGCCAATCGATATATATATTGGTTGGTTACCATGGTAACAGCGGAGAAAGTTGGGAATTTTGAGAAAAATACAATATTTGGTGTAGTGTTGTGAAATTATGCAGCTACATCTATTAAAAAGAAACACAAAAACAATTAATTTCAGCCTTGTTTTTATCAAAAATCAAAAAAAGTTATGGGGAATCTACTTAGAAACATCTGAAATTAATTTCTAAAAAATGGTCATTGTGAATATTCCTCACAATACGAATTATCTCCCTTTGACGGGTTACACTAATGACTGGACCAAAACGAAAATGCTAATAACTTTTTTATTTCTTAAAAATTTTGTCAAATGTGAATTGCTATAAATTTAGTCCATTTAATACATAAATATAAGAAAAAATATAGAAAACTTTTAAATCTTCATAAAACGTGACCTGACCAACGCTGACAATGACAGGACCAAATGAAAATGCTCATTACTTTTTTATTTCTTAAAGGATTTATGTTAAATTTGAAATATAATAAAATTTGATCATTTAATATATAAGTATATGAAAAAATATAGAACAAAATATCAAAAAATTCCGAAAAATTCCGAAAACGTGACCCTTCTAACGTTGACAATGACCTGACCAACAACAGCAATGACTTAACCGATGAAAATTTCTGTGTTATTTTATATCAGTAAAAAAAAGGGGGAAAATATATGTTTTTGGGTAAAAAAAAACTTGACCTGACCAACGTTGACTGTGTCCTGATCGTTGTACTACCTAATACCTATTTATATCTTATAGGATTTGCTTAAAATTTATATAAAAAAACATTAAGATTGAATGGTAAAGTCTTTATCAAATAATAAAAAAAACTGGGGAAAACAGTTTATGGTACTGTGACGGGCACCAGGTTATTCAAACTTTTTATGGTATTGAGTAGTATATTGTATTGTACTGTGTTGTAAATTATGTTGCATATTACCGGTTATAATTTGACACATTTGATCACAAATATAAAGTAACACACAAAAGGTGTGAAGTAGGCCAAAAATACATGTAAGTTGATAAATCCAATATAATTGTTTTTTAATATTTTCATAACAGTAAATAATTATTTCCACGTACAACTTAAGGCATGCCCGAGCCTTGTGTAGGTTATCTAGGTAGTTTTAAATATTTTCATAAAAAAAAAATAAACATTTCGCGGACTACTTGAGGTATGCCCGAGCCCCTGCATGCACGATATCTTGGTAGTTTAAAATATTTTAATAAAATATAAGAAAACATATTCAACGACTTAACTTGAGGTATGCCAAATGTTCTCGAAAGTCAATACATTCATCGTTTGCTAATATGTTTGAAAAGCATTTTATATTTTCTTATTTGATAAAATTAATGGTTCAATCTAAGTGTTTCTATAAATTTGATGCAAAGCCTATTACATATAAATAGGTATAAAGTCATTTTCCCTGGTCATGATAATGGTCAGAATATAGGACAAAAAGTCACAGACAAAAAGTCACATGTATTATATGTTATAAACATTGAGTCCTGTTTCAAAGTAAAATCTATTTT